CTACTGATATGATTGAATTTAGCACAGCGTGGGCAATGGCCTTCATTGGGTGCATATTCTTTGAGGAATAGAAATTAATCTCACAATGCATTAAACAATTTGAGACACCGCCGCCCCTCCCCCAAACAGTAGCATTTGTACAAATCTTTTCATGTAAAGGTTCCACATATTTAAAGCAGTGGGTACGCTGGGACTGAGGACGGTCGGCTAGCCAGCGTCATTGGTGGAAGAGCTGAAGGGGGTGTGGCCAAACACCATCACGCAATCCTTCCACCAATGACGTTGGCAGCAACCGCCCGCCCCAACCATCGTGTCCCTTGCCTTGAAATCAGTATACAGTATGCAATGCAGTTTACCAGAATGCTCATTTTGAATGTTTTTCAGTTCGGGCACCCCTCACCTCCACCATGTGGTATCCCACATTTCATCGATGATCTCCCAGAAGATGCACAAGTGAAGCTGAAAGAAATCTGGAAGGATTGGAAAGAGGGGGAGAAGTGCTACAATGAGCAGGGCCTCACACGGGAGCTCGTGAGTTTTCTCGTTTTTCCTTGAAAATTATGGAAAGAAAACATTTGGGTGCAGGATCCCTGGCGCTGAGGATCCCTAAGAACTAAACTCTTTTATAGATGGATTCGCTGCCGAAGGACGTTCGTCGGAAGGTTCACAAGGATGCTTTCCTGCCACCACCGTTGAAGAAAGCACCACAGGAGGTTCAGGAGCAGTTCCGAGCTATCCTCAATGACCCGAAAATTTCTTTTGAAGATAAGTCAAAGAAGGTCAAGGAGCTGGCACAGAAGGTAACCAGAAAGCGAATAATGAGATTCTTCAGAAGAATTCTTTTTGGTTTCAGGTCCTCAAAGGCGATCTTCTCAAGGAGTTCAACGAGTTCCAGAAAAAGATCGATGAACATCGCAAGAGCATTGAGGAGAAGGTAGTTTTTTGCAAAGTCAGGCTTCCGTGGTTGTATGGGAGCGTTACGTAGCAATGGAAAATTGCCATTCCAGGCGAGCAAGCTCTCACCCGAAGCCAAGGAAGCATACGACAAGATCAGCGAGTTAGAAAAACAGAAGCACACCATCATTTCTTCCCTCAGCGAATCCGCCCAAGAGGAGCTCTTCCAGATCTATAAGGAACGTTTTTCAAAGTTCCCTAAACCGCTTTAAAAAGCTAGCCATGTAAATAACCTAATTATGCCATTACCGTAACTCAGTCTGTAATAAAACTTTCACTTCATTGTACAAGAAGTGCGATCTGTAATTTCGGAGGGCCTGTCACTTTCGCGGCTTGGAAGTGAGTGGCGAATGCCTTGAGGCCGTCAGTAGCCCTAGATTTGCTACTCAGAAGCAGCACCTACACAACACAGACAGGGGGAGTTTCCATGTTGTTTGGATACCCAGCGAGGTGGGAGGGGAGGGGGCTAATTACCCTCTCCCATTCCCACCAAGATTGCCGAGGGAAGGAGGTCGTTCTTGTCTTTGAGGAAAATGTTTCCGGTTGTTAACTTCAGCAGTTGTACGCGTTTGGGTTGTCGATGTTTCCCGTTTCATGTGTGCTATAAATTTTTTTTGGAGAAGAGCTGGAAATTCATCGACAGAGAAAAAAGTCCGCAGAACTGGTAGAAAGTTATGAGAATCTAGGAAGATGGTAGGTAGGGTGGGCATGGAGAAGGGGTTGTATCAGAGAATTCTCAGATCAGAGATTCTGAGACCAGAACATGCCGTGACTCAGAGGTGACACTTGCTTCCTTATCTATAAGGGACCACGGTCCTATTTCGCTGTGTTCTCTCGTCTAATTCGTCTCTTGGGCGCTCAAACTCTCTCGCTTCTTCGCATGCACGTCTAAAATTGATGAGGGATTTATATAGATGTTTCCGGCGATCTCGCTTGCCTTTATTCTCTGCTGATGAAGCACCTACAAATACTCAGCTCACCCAGCATGAAATCTTAGAAACTGGGGCCGGGCAGCCGTATCGCGGATTTCGGTGCTCATAAGGTCCATTCATACTTGGCATGGGCATGGGTGGCCGCAGAACAAGTGAAAAACCATCCTGGACATTTGTCGACCCCTAGCGACTGCTTGCTCAACGAAGATGTCGTCCTCCCTTTCCAAGAGACTCATTCGATTTCCTTCACTTTGTCAAATGCACCTGGAGGAATGAACCGTTTCGTCCTTTTTTTGATGACGTTTATCGCTGTTGTAGTTTTAAAGGGCTCCGCTACCAATGAATGCGGCTCTGGTAACCTGGAAAAGCTACGCACTGCCAACAGAGTGAGAGCGTAACCATACACAAAACCTAATAAGTCAATGAAAATTTGTTTGGTCTGAGCGTCCTTAGTGTAATCGACCAGGTCCTGATCACGATTCTGACACTTATTCTTGACGTCAACCCAATCTGGCGTCAGAATGGCCCTGCAATTCCCTCAAACGAATGTACATAGCGACTCCAGTGGGAAAGACGGTGTGCTCAAATTGGGGATTAATTAATGCATAGAGCCTTGAAAGTAAATGCCATAGTCGTGATCAGGGCACCGAATAACATATAAAGCTCAACTTTCAGACAAGTTCTTGCCTAATGGTATGTGAAATCGAAATTGCTGAATAGCACCGACTACGGGGTATAAACTGTCTGTCTTTATTCGGATATCTGCCATTTATGGTAATTCTGCCATAATGGCAGATATCCGAATAAAATTCATTACCTGGAAGCGAAAACAACGGAAAATAAAAAATGCAAAAGCGTGCAAGTCGACCCATCGTCCACTGTCCGCCTGAGAATCCTCCGCGCTATCCACTAGGCCATCCCATCGTTTGACTACCACTTCGATTGTTTAAGATCTCATTCCAAGTAGCCGTCGACTCTTAACTACGTGCCAGTTTCCAAAAAGCGCTCCACGTCCTGAACGACCTCCCTAGTAAGTACGACCGGTTGCGCGGTATACGTCTTCGGAAAAACGGCGCCACACTTGGTTAGGAAAATTAACCCGAAAAGGTGACCTCGACGATTTATCAAATTTATACAGTGCTTAACAAAACTTATTAAACAATGATGAAACTGAATATGTGCTTCAAAATTATGGCTTATTGTCTACTGCGCTTTCGCCTCGGTTCGGAGTCGTTTTCTCATCCTACTTTGCAGAATTTGCTGCATTCTTGCACGACGTCGATTGTGTACAACACTCACAAATACGGAGAGTAGAACGAAGAAAACTGAAATATTATGCAGTAAAAAGGAAGAAGATGGTGTGCGGCTTAGAGGGACATCTCGATGGTTGCGAGTTTAATTGACCAGTTCCTATTAAATAACTCGTTTTCACGTCAGTGAAACCAGAAACCTGTTGTCTCGTATGGAGGCATTCCATGCTATTGCATAGCTTCAAGTTCACAGGTCTCTCTGCACAGCTGAAACCGGCAATGACACGAACCAATAAAATGCCCCCACCAAGTGAGGCTCATCAGTCTTGGCAGAGAGCGGATGACCAGAGTCTAGACATCAGCGCCGGTGCTAGGATATTCGCAGCGAAGAATGTCAAACTACTCCTGTACGCAAGTTCTCATCGGTTCCGGAGAGCGCTGGTAGGGCCAGACTGGTGCCTATTGGTGCTAAATGGCGCTGGCGCTAACAGCAAGTGCTATATTCGTACAGAGAAAAAGTACAGAATAACCCCTACAGGCTGAGTTTCAGTGAAAAATTTCCTGAGTTCTCGGGTAATAGTGGCTCAATGGTGCCTCGTGTTCGTCTTTTAATTTCCTATGGCTGCATTCATATTTTACGGCAGCGTCCAGCAACCAACCACAACCACAAGCGTTCAAGCGTTTCGAGCGTCCGTCATGTCAGCTACTGGAAAGTATGGGTATCGATCCAGAAAAAGGCAGCGGCTACCAGCGTCTACCAGCGTTCTACTAGTGTCTACCAGCGTCAATCAGTGACCAGAGTACGGTATTGTGTTGCAGTACGGTGCGGTTGCACACGTCACAATTTCAGGACACATAATCCAGCTGTCTCTTCTCTCCTACTTCCCCATACTCTACCAGCAGCGGTACCCTCCTAGTTCCCTATACTCTCTACTCCTGGTCGCTAGTGCGCTGGTGGACGCTAGATCGATATCCAGATCAACATCTCTAGTCCTTCGAGCCGCTAACGATCGCTGGCGGACGCTGGTGGACGCTGGTAGACGCTGGTGAACGCTTCCGTTCGCTAGATGGATATCTATAGTTTCACTTT